TTGCACTATGGCAGTGGTTCTCAAACTTTTTCTGTCAGGCCCCCCCTTTGGAGAAAAAAAAAAGTCGGGCCCCCCCAACACAAATAGTCAGGCTCAGTGGCGGCGCCAGAGATTCTTTTTTGGGGGTGCTGTGGGGTAGCTTGACGTTTCATAGAGGGTGCTCAAACATTTAGGGTTTCCCATTAATGTACCGGTCGCTACAGTGGAAATTTCTACTTCAACAATCCCCACGCACATACACAGTGTGACAGTTACAATGAAGGCTCGAGGCATATAGGTGTAAGTAGGGGTAAAGTGCTATTTTATAGGTGGTGTGTGGACCTCACATAGGGGGGTCCGCGGGCAAGCTTGCCCCCGGAAAGATTTATTTTTAAATATTTTGTTAAAAGCATCGATCTGGTGCACTTTGAGAGCAAAAAAAAGAGATCTATGTATCCCTCTCTCAACACCCATATGAAACAGAACTGGAAACAGATTTACTTTTTCTTTATGGATATTTTACAAATCACCCTTTTAAACTTTATTCTTTTTTTACTGTGATATAGCATTTCATATCTGTTTTTCATTTATTCTCTTATTTTCGTATAACTATAATGATCATATAAACGTGTGCCTCGGCAATAATTGTTTACATTAAAGGTGACCAAAACGTTTGAGACCCACTGAGATAACTTAGACTAAAGTTAACTATCTAAACACTGAGAGAGTCCTTTAGCTCAATGAGTCTCTCAGGAGAGGACTCTCCTCCACTTTGTTGTTGAAAAACTCTTTATATCCGTTAGCGTAGCTCGCTAGCACCAGAAGCTAACAACTACGATCTCCGGTACCGGTGCGCTCTCTCTCTCTCTCTCGCTCGCGCACACAAAATGGCTCGTTCCACACACATACACAGAGCCGAGCTTTAATGAAACACAGAGACCCAGACGTAATAGTACTGTACTGCATCATATTATTTTCGAATCAATAATTTTTCAAATTATGATATTTTTTTTATTATTATTTTTTTAAATCTTTTTTTTCCTCCTGGTCTCTCGCGCCCCCCCTGGCATGCCTCTGCGCCCCCCACTTTGAGAACCACTGCATTAGACTAACACCTAAATCAGCATAAACCCCATTAACACCTTGGAGAAGCTTTCAACTGCAACTATAAGCAAATATTCAGGAGCCAACCTCGACCTCCAGGTTAACAACACTGTAGCTTTGGCCCCATACACTACACTTTACTTTAGGGGCTGTCTTCCTATGAGATTCACACTTTGTCCACCACTAACATTTTGTCCTCACCAGAAGTTTAGTAAATCTTCTGAAACACTGCATAACACACCACAAGTCAAATAAAACAAGTTGTAGAGAATTGTCTGTACTTTTCATGCTTTTCATATTTCAAACTAACATGTTACATGACTAGTTTGTCTTTGCTTCCATTTAGACGTCAGATGTAGGCATGACCCAAAACAGTGGTGACAGCGGCCTGTGCTTTGAGATCTGGTTCAGGAAGAGGAAAACCCAGGACACATACACACTTCAATCAGCCAGTCGGGAGGCGAAGGACGCCTGGACCAAGGACCTGGAGCGTATCCTGTGGGAGCAGGCAGTACACAACAGAGGTACCGAAAAATGGACACAAATACAAACACGCACTGACATGGCATGTCCATGAAATGTCTTCATGCCAATATACTGTACTGTCCATTACAAATATTATAACATGTGTGAGGTTAATGTAATAGAGAGTTGTTGATGGCTCTCTCTACTGCAGTGAGGGTTGCCAAAGAAATGTAGTTGTACTTTGTATGATGACAATAAAGATATAGTCTATTTTATTCTATTGATAGAGCCTTTTCATTATAATGACATTTGCACTTCCTGTGTACCTATCTTTCTTGATATTTCAAAGCAAGTGAGCATTTCCACAATTTCTACAACGTGGTGTTGCTTTCTATACCAAAGTAATAGATCTGAGAACTTCTTCCACCTCTGCCTGCGTTTTCTTTAATTTCCATTCCTGAATTTGAAAACATTTTGAACTGATTATTTCACATGTGTTTTTAGAGATCCGTATGCAGGAGAGAGTGTTCATGGGTATTGGAAACAAGCCGTTCATGGACATCCAGCCCAGTGATGCAGCAATCAATGACAGAGCTGTCAACTATGTACAGATGGGAAGAGGTAAGCAAATTGGTTTACTCACTGATTCATGGCTTTCATTTTATTCAGCAGCAGTGGCCAGGCCAGCAGATTGACTCAGGCCAGCCTGTTCGCCAATTCAAACCAACAAAATGCTAATTGTGTAGGCTAATCTTATTTGTTGATGCTGCCTAACAACTACCAGTGTAGTGATACACTTTGCCACTCTGTTTATCTGGGCAGAAAGACATACAAGCATTTGGGAATGAGCAACAATTAAACATCCCACATCTTACCGTAGTACAATATAGGCTACACACATCTTTTCAAATGTCCAAAACTTTCCATGACCTTGAGCGGAATTCATACTATTAGTAACTACCATTTCCTTGCAATCCTGCTAATGTAACTAAAAAACAACTGAATCCACCCAGTGGCGGACATTTCCATGTGGCCTGATGGCCAGTCTGGAGAGGTGGAGGCTTCAGCTCTTCTTTAGTGATGATGCAATATTGACGTTGTGCCTGATTCATGGATTCTGACCTGTAAACCCATCAATTCAAATATTAGCTATTTTACCAAATGTTCATTGATGAAGGTGACAATAGGCTTTATATAACTTTTGGCTTTTTTGATCGTATCACCCACTTTCTCTCACTGCAGGAAACAGGGTCCTGTCCTCACTTGGGCCATTGGATGGGTTTCTTGGGGTTCGACCCAAATCTGGATGTTCAGGAAGCAGCTCGTCCTCTTCCTCTTCATCTGGAAGAGGTTCCCTGTCTCCCGGGGGATACCTGTGTGGGCCAGAGAGGAGGGGGGTTACGGGGGCCCTTGGAGGATACGCATTGCCTTCTGGAGTTATAGAGGACGACGACCTGGACCATGAGAGTGGGAGTCACAGCTTATTGCGTGAGTTTAGTTCATATGTTCTTAACTCATACATAACCAAAATGTTATGAACCTGGAGATACTTTAACAGTTGTATTTCTCTCAAACAAAGTCACAGGTTTAGGTCAAGGGCAACCAAGGAGACTTCTAAAGGGAAGTTGATGGAATTGACCATTTATCCATTGAACGTGTGTGTAATCCAGCCTCCTCTTTGTTCCAGTGGACAGCTCCGAGTCATCTGGAGAGAGTGTGAGTGGCTTCAGCTGCTCCAGTCACAGCTACCAATCGGCCGTTGGAGGAGAGGTGGAGGAATCCTCTTCCCTTTGTTCCTCCATGAACACTGTTAAAGAGGCATTGGTTGCTCATAGGACTGAAGCCTCTGCAGTCTTCCAAAAACCAAATGCTCTGGCAGGATCCCCAGTAAAAACCCAACCACCAGTTGCACCAAAGCCCAAGATTAAACTACAAAAACAGACCAAGGACCTGCCCTGCGGCAAGGTGCAGTACAAAGCTCCTTACTAGTGATTAACATGTTCACAATATGGAAACTTAAAATACCTAGTGATTAATTCATCAATAAATGATCTCTGCCCTGTTTATCCGAACTGCACAATTAGTGTTTAGCAAATACCATGCCTGCACCATAAATACTGTCTGTTCAATAAAAGAATGTTGGAAATAATCCCTTTTTTATTCATTTTTTTATTATTGTGGTATTCAACAATGTTATTGCATATGGCATGTTTTCCTCAATTTGTGCCGCTCTAGTCTTTATACAGAAAAGTGATTTTTCTGCATGCAGATTGCAGATTGCATTTCCCAATCTCAATGATTCATCTTCTGTTGTGATTCATATTTCATTGTATGTTGTATGCAATCCCTCAGGCTCAGAACACCAGTGTTGGAAAATCCACTGAAGTTTGACCTGTGATGCAGTACAAGGTGAGTGTGAGTAATTTATACTTTACCCAATGTTCTTAAACTTTTATTTACTATAACTCCTTTTGAACAGTTGGTAATTATGTGTACTATAAACTGTTCTGCTGTGGAAAGAAAATTGATTTAAACTTTTTTTTCTTCTACAGGTTTGGATTTCATCCAAGAAATGCCATCTGTTGACGACAGCGTTGAAGATGAAACCATTCAAACAGACATCCTTTTATAGACCAACTGTAATCCATAACCACTCTGTAAATAGTTGTCCTAATAATTGTTTTTAAAAAAGTCTGTAAATGTACTGTACTCAAACATTTCAAAATGCTTAACTGACATACTGTCCCTGTAAACCAGTCTCATATCTCTTGCAAAGGATCATAGAGTTTCTGCAGTCTTTCAGTGCTTGCCTGCTATTTGTAGCACAATGCTAATAATCGTGGTGAAATGAAATGAGCAGAATGTTATTAACAAGCAACTTACGGATTCTAGAGGAGTTTTGTAAAATGTGGAGGTCCGTGAAGAATTGTATCACAAAGGCAGCAAACACCATTATGCCTTTTTGTCCCATATGTATTTCCTTTTGTACAGATTTATCAAACTTGTTAAAACATGTCGTACTTTTTTCCTCAAAAATAAAACACATTCACTCTTTCCTTTCTTTTGATCATTCGCACAAACTAATATTTTACTGAAATGAAGGTTAGCAACTTGCTTTTGTATTTGAAATGTAGCGGATTTACAGTGATGATAGGTGTCCTTTGTGTATTTATTTGCACAATAACCTTGTTTGTATCCAAACCAAGATGCAAGATCTTTAAACAAAAAAATGTGTGGCTAACATCTAATAAAGTCTAATATTTTAATTAGTCAAATAGTTAGTCAATTTCTGGCCCAAATTTAAGATGGGGAATTAATATAGTCGAGTAAGTTATCAAAATGTATTTCCTTAATTAATGAAAAGTAAATATGCAACACCAGAATATCCAAACCCACATGAAAGAGTTAACATAATTTGAAGAGAATCGATTGATTTGTTCACAATACTTTACTTTTTAAAAGTGAAGAAGAACATGTAACATTGTAGCCAACATATCGCATTAAACGGTATGACAGATAGTTAGATTACTTTAACTAGCCTACTAACAGTTCTATCTAACAGGAAATGTTATGCTTCATTGCGCTCAACAGGAACCCCAATCACATACTTCCCCTAAAGCTTCTGCTTTTCTGACTTCTTTAGAAGTAAAGGTTTCAAAAATATTTCCTATTTATTTTTCTTGGAAACACTTGATGACTATTAGATCGGGAACTGAGATGCCACATTCTTTTAGCCAAGCCTGCCTTGGCAAGCGTACTTATTCATTTCCACTCTGTGCATGCAATGCACAGCTCTGGAGCCAATACTCTTAGGCTATATGTGGTTTATAATAGTCTGCCTTTAGAGCTGCAAACCATATGACTGACTCTTACTGTGTAATGTGTATGGGTTTTACTCGAAATAAACTAGGCTCATAAGGCATAGCAACATGTAACCAAGTTTAATACCGGAATGAAAAAGAAGAAAGAAAGAAATATATATAAAATAGTGAAACAAACAAAAGGTAACATTTTAAAGTAAAAATACTTATCAAATACACCTGCTTTTAATTGCCTTCTTATTTTTAATATTAGTAGCATATTGCCATATTGTTGTAATTCTAAGTAAATGTTACTGCACTCTGTACCTTTCCACTATTCTTCTGTTACGTCAAAGTGGACCTCTACTTATTCTTGGCTAACCCAGCACACACAAATTAGAGTTCAGACCATCCTTGAGTAATGAATCACCGGAAGATGTTTGCAAGAGGCTACAACTCAACGTGTGGGCGCTCGCGCGAAAGGGTCGCGTCACGCCCACCACCAGGAGGAGGACGACTACAAATAAGAGCGAGATAACGGTGAGGGTTCACACACATATTCCCCTTTGAGCCGCGCTGCAGATTCGCTGGAAACACAGTTTGGTCCAAGAACACACCTGCAGTCATGTCTAAAGGTAAGTTGTACTCTCATTACTTGCATTTGTTGTCATACACTGCCGGTGCTATTTAAACAACAACAACCATTTGCGATGTAATTGCATAAAAAAAGTCGTGTAGTAGCCTAGTTCACAACTAGGTAAGTTATTGAACAGAAACTCGGCTATGCGTAATGATATGTATTTATTCTACAAGTCAAGGATTTTGCTTTGCAGTTTTATCTCTACTGTTTTCTATACAGGTGTTTGTGTTAAGGCAACTCACTTTCAGTTTATTTAATGCAGTGCTCATTTATTCTAGTCACTGACAGAATAGTAAATGAGAAGGAAGGTCAAACAATGTTGTCAGAATATACTGTAGTCATGATGTGTCCGAAAGAACCTGACAAATGTTAAGTTGTCACATTCTGCACTATCATTCTGTCAAGCACAGAACCATCTGACATCTGAAGACCGATGCATCTAAAAAATGTTTGAACCGCATGTTTGAGCCGATGATTGTTGTCCTTGGACCCTTTTAATAGCAGCTGAAAGCAGCTGGAGTCAATTGGTTAGGAAGGCACACAGACAAACATACATACAGAGACACAGACACATACACGCACACGCTCACACACAACCCTACAAATAGTTAACTTGTATGCCCTTGTAAAGACATTTAAAACTCCTCAAATACCTTTAAATGTTGAAATACAGCATTGACCTGTGTGTAGGCAACATGTGTAGTATAATTATGCCAAACATGGCTGGTGATGAGTAGTTTCACATTTTATGGAAGAAAAGGTAGAATAGGCATACGATTTTCCCTTTTACAGTAGGTGGCATAGAAGAGAACTTGTGAACAGAACAGTAAGTCTGAAGTCATAAATAAATGCTTTTTCTATTTTTTTTTTATTCAATCTCCACAGGATGTTACTAATATGTATTTTTTGCAGCAACTACACACAAATAGAAATGAGCAAATATAACACCACTGACTACAGAATTAGAGTTAGAATAAACAGCACATTGATGAAGAAATGGCACCTGTTTTCCATCTGTTGGAAGCTTACAAAGCATTTAGTTGAAAGTGTCTGTGATGGAGCGCTGAAGTCAGCATGGGTGTTAACTGCAAGACCGAAAACTCCATTCACTTCTGACGGGAACATATTTATTTTTCCAGGGTTAAAACGCTGTTTACTGTACCAGCGGCTACACAGTTGACACTAGCTAGATTTGTTGTAATTTCCTTATTAGTGCTGCCTGCTGAGACAGTGCCTCTGTGTGTGGTTCTGCGGGTCATGGGTGGTAAAGTTGGACTGAATTGTGGGCGTGCACAACGTGTAGAGGTCAGTGAGGAGGACAGAGTCATTACTGGGGAATCTCTGCCCATCCGTTTCATATTAAAGCCTTGTGCTGTGAGTTATTTAACCCTATATATCGAACTGCACGTTGCAATACATTCACCTTGCAGTTTACCTTTGAATACCCACATGAATACCATCTGCTTCACCACATGCACTGTGGTTTTAAATCAAAAGAGATGTTCTCTTGTGGCCAAAAAAACCACCCCACAAATCTTTACAGAAAGCATTACGTCAGTTTCCCAGTGCACCATTTGTCTGCTGTGAACGTTTCAGGTTCATGGACATTTATATGATATTCATCTTTATAATAGTTTTTACATTCTGTAAGCTGAGGATCTGTTTTATTGAACTCTTCGCATGAGGTGCGATGTACTTAAAAGTAATACTCTTGTCTACAAAATAAAACAGTACAAATAAATCTGAATTTCCTGGACTCAAGTGAGATATTTCTTTCTCCAGATGTTTTTTCTCAAACACGATTAAATAGCATAATGCTTCATGCTTCCATGCTGATTTTTTATATGGTATTTGCCCATATCGAATGGCTGGAGAGTATTCACAGGCGGAACTGCAAAGCCCTCCTTATCCCCTGACTACAATCTACAGCTGTCCCAGAATAGGTAGCGCTGTCATCTATAAGGCATTTACCCCAATTAGTGACACAAACGTGTCTTCAATTAGAAACTGAACTAAGTTCAAGATCAGTAAAACATCAGAGCTACAGGAAGGTTGAGGAAACATTGAGGAATGATGGACTTGGTGTAAAACAGCAGGAAAACTATGCAGCTTAGTTTTTGTTGATCCAAGTCTAGCCAAGACCTGACACTCCTATATCCACATGAGGGTCTCCAGGGCTTTTGTTAATACAGCATACTAATATATGGTCAGAGGATAACCTCCTGACATGTCATGGAGCAGTAGGTAGTGAATAACTTATATAGGGAGACCTTTAATTTGTCTAAAAACAGGATATCCAAGGGTGTGATTCTCTTTAGTCACAGGGTGCCCTGGGGAGAAGGAGTGGTTCTGTCTTTGCACACTTCACAAGCAGGCTGTGTTTACTTCTTGTTAAATCCAGCCCTTTGAAATGAAACGATCTTACCATTAAAGTATTTTTATCCCAAAGTCCACACAATTTGGCTTTGAAGATAAATAATAAACATTTGACCTTTTTTGTTTTGTTTTATTATATAAGTCAACTTGTAGCCAGGAAAACAAAAAATACCTAAAAACATGTTAATTGCAACAACAAGATTCAGACTCTATGTACACTACAGATCTGTATGTTCTACTCATTTGAATGAATATAAAGAGAGCTACTTGCTATGTAACACGTTATGCATTATTTGTTGAAGAAAACGACAACAGCTTAAGAGAATACTTAAAATAATTCACAGCGTATTGAATAGCAACACATACATGTTTATAAGGTTGATAATGGTAGAGATGTATAATGATCAACACCACCTTTTTAGGGTTATGCTTTCTGCTAATTTTTTCAGTGTTTTTTAAATACCCTCACGTCTTTACAGCTCTGGACATTGAACGCTGGAACCTGGAGTGCGAGTTCAACAACACCGACCATCGCACCGATCTCAACGGTGTGGACCGTCTGATCCTGAGGAGAGGCCAGGTGTTCACAATCAGCCTCTACCTTCGCTCCGGAACCTTCCAACCGGGAGTCAGCTCCCTCGAGTTTGTCGCAGAGACAGGTGCTACTCCTACTTTATCTCTTTACTGTCTGTACACATACAAGTTTAAGTAAAAGTTTTAAAATATTATAAACGTTTCTGTAAGTATCCCTGTAATGCAGGACCTTAGTGTCACATTGGAACTTACTGTGTGTTTTTTCTTAAGCAACCTATTGTGATTGTAGATATGATCGGGGGAAGCAGCTGTAGAGGAACATAAAGCAATTTCCCATGGTTCATTTTTCAGTGACACCGCTACTGGCTTTTACAAAGAGCACACTTACAGTAGCTTTAAGATGTTCTGTTGTTTTGTCCATTAATGTTCTATGGGTGTAAGAGGACAAAGCTGTTATTGTTAGGAGCCACAGTTACAGTTTACTCATCATATTCTGCTGTTTGAACACTAAGTAAACACAGAGACATCTGACTACTCTCCTCAGTTCATATTTGGATAAACTCTCATGCAGAGTATGATAAGTCGGCTGATACTTGCCATCATATCCAAAACAGGAAATGTTGCTTGCAGACAGGAAAGCATGTGTATAATCATAGATAACATTATCAAGCTATAAAAGTCAAGTATGTTTTAATGGATCAGAGTAGGAACCCTAAT